GGGTTTCCATTTGGACTTTTGACACACCACCATCGAACGGAATTTGGTTGCATGAGGCAGACACTTGGACTTTCCATGACCGTAACTGTAATTTAAAACTCATTCATAATTGAATCTCTTAGTATGTTGTGCTGGAGAACGCTTCCTGCTCATTAATGTTGCAAGAAGGAGAGGCCGAAGCTACACTGAGGCAAAGGTAATCAGTCAAGTGCAACTTTTACCCAGTTTTCCCCGGGATTTTCCCCCCCACTCCAACCATACCAACTTCATTTTTCTACCGACTTTTGTTCTTTGGGGGCTAATGGGAGGTTTCCGGTTTAGAGGGTTTTGTTGCTTTAATTAGTTGATCGCACGTGATACGGGCTCCTCTCGACTTCTGTATCTGTGCCGGCACCTAGGTACTTCAATACCTGAATAGTTGAGTAGCCGAGTACCTGAGTATCTGTATCTGAACCTGACTATCTGAACCATCACTGGCTATCTGGCTCGCCGTGGTTATATTAGCACTTGTCCGGCTTTAAATTGCTTGTAAAGATTATCTATGGAAAACTCACACTCAATTTGCGCGTCTACTCTGGCATGCAGATACTCTCCGTCCTATATGAGGAACAATCTGTGCAAAATCTTAAGTAGCTTACAATGAGGGGCGTAGTTGGCTGCTTTTGGCTCTTACCCCGAAGACAATGCACTGGATGTGGAGTGTGTATGGTGGGGATGGCTGGGATAGCTGACCATATTCAGACATTCTCGGATCCTTGTAAGCCAAAAGGATACATAAATTGCAGCCCAGACAGAAATGGCTCGGCAAATGCACAGCTGTTGCCAGCAAATCTACAAGCAATTCGAGTTTCCATTGAAATAACAATAATGTCCAGCCCCGCATATACACACTCACACATTTCCAGCAGTTGTTGCTTCCGGCTAATGTCCTTGTCACTCCTTGTTTTTGGTGCTGTTGCCAGGGACTCGTGCAGTGGTTTTTGTTGCTGTGTGTGGCTCGTTGTTTGTAATTTGATGCGCGCTTTTAGTTAATTGTGGCATCAGGACATGAACATTTTGGCCTATGGACAATAACTAAGCCGCTCTTCCAGCTATGCCCACCGCTATGTGGTACAGTGTGGAAAAAGTTGGGGTATTATGTCCAACCAATAGAACAATAAACTAGAAGGGAACTAAAGTATGTTGCCACTTGAAACCGTTCAAAATGTTTGACTTTATTGGTAAAGGTACAGGACTGTATATTCCTGTTCTAGAAGGTCCTGCAAAGTGACATTTGCCGCAGTTGTTGCTCCTTGTAGTCTTGGTTGGGCCATGACTTAAACCTCTCTCTCTCCGACCCTGCCACTTGCACTTCTTGGCATATTTTAGTTAATTAATTTTGTGGTCAAGTGAGGGAAAATCGGTACGGATACAAGGACTTTGAATGGCAAGTGATTTGAAGCTGTCTGTCCAGACGGTGTCTTCTCCTGGTTTTAATTGCATTCGCTTCGTTCATGAATGCCTCAAAAGGTGAAAGGAAGCCTATTAGACAGTGCTCTGTGTGCTGCTGGAATGTTTCTTGAATTTAAAACCAAAGCATTTCGCATTATTGCTCACAAATTCACACAAATCCAATGGCATATAATTGAAAATTGCGGTTGCCTTGTCTTGTCTGACAGAGCTGCCGTCTTAATGACTGAGAATATAATTCATCTCTTGGTTATTATCAATTATCGAGCAGATGCCCACTAAAGTCCTGTCTTTGGACCATAAAGGTAAAATAATAAGAGCTAGAGCCATGGCCAAATGCAAATCAAATTAATTGGTGAAATACAAGAAAGCATTCTGATGGCTTGTTTTTAATATGGAACATGGACTTGTTGAGGAAAAATCCCAAAATGGCCTTGCCCAAATAAGGCACTTCAACTGCCGAAATCCACTCCGATTTCCCCATTAACCCGTGCAGCCTCTCATTACTTATTGAAGCACTTTCCAAAAGTTACAAATTTACAATATTTTTTCGTCGTAATTATGCTCGGCATATGCGCGTATTTCAACAAGTTTGGCCATCTGAATAGCAACCCTCGAAATGGGGGTAAAAATTGTATCAAAAGGGGAGTTTTGGAAACCAGTACTCGAATCACTTTCCATCCATCTCAACACTCAACAAAAAGAATCGGGAACTCACTTGGCCACTTCGGACATCGTCCAAACACATTAGTCATCTTTGGCTAAACGCTATTTGAGTTTCGCATTACTCAGATCTCGGGTTCCGACTTTTATTGCCGATGCTGATGCCGGGACTATACTGAACTCCTTTCTTTTATTGGGTTTCTCGAGTGGGAAGAAGAGGTCCACTGATTAGCGTTTTGCATGCGAAATGCATAAATCACTAGAGGAATTGAAAAAGCAAAAAAAAAAAAAGAAAACGAGGGTTATAGCGGCGGCTGCAATTGCCATTTGGTCTGCGGCGACGTCGTTGACATTTTTATTGCCTGAGAAAATAGAATTTTTTATTTACCCTTCTCTCTGGGTGTGATGGGTGCATTTTTTCATGCCATATACCATCCATGAGCAGACTTGGCTGCATAAATTTGGTTTTTATCGCAACTAAATGGCCGCAAATGCTTGGCGGTTGATACGTCAGCGGGCTAAATAAAATAAATCTTCAATAAATAATACAACAAAATCTGGAGTATGGAGCAAAGTAATCCTGGCCGAGTCATAAAAAGGCGAATATGCAGGGCATGAATCATGGTATATAATAAAATTAACTGATGGTTAAGACCGCATTAAATCTCGATTGCCAAGACTAATGTGGATTGCCTCGGGAATGGCTAAATCCTGAAAAAGTAATAATAACTACTAATAGTTAAAAAAAAGAAGAATAAAGGCTTCCCTCCTAAACGTCAATTACTTGGGCAATAATCTCAATATTTAATAGATGCGCCCGCCTCCCAAAGGATACGACCTTTTCCGTTTTAATCACTTTTGGACTTTGCTGCTCCAATGTCTGCCACTAATATGCAACATAAAGCAGTAACTTAATTTACTGCTGGGAAAAAAGAAGGAAACTACTGCGAACGGGAAAAGCTAAGCCCAGGGCTAAAAGTGTAATGAGGAAAAGTCTTTTACTAATTGAGGCCAAAGCAGCAGCTGAGACGGGAGTGGGAGTGGCAGCACAAATTATGAGCACGAAAAGAAAATAATAATTTTATTTTACATTTTTTTTTTTCGGTTCTTTTCTACTGGTGCTGGCTGCTGTTGCAGGCCTGACTTTTGCTCCTGCTGCTGCTGTTTGTTCCTTAATAGCCGTCAAGATTCTCGGAAAGAAATAAAGCAAACGGCGCAAGGCACACAAGGCCCTGAAAAAAAACGCCAAGACGACGGAACCCTTTCTCAGGCTCCCCGAAATGTGCGCAAGCGTTGAGCTGTGAAAAGGCACAACAGCAACACCGTAGCTCAGCAACAGTGCAACAGTGCAGCATCAGCAACAGCAGAAGCAGCAGCAGCAACATCAACAATAAGTGGCAGCAACAGCGGCGCAAGGCAGCCAAGTGAAGTGGCGTGTGGCGTCATCAGGTTGCAGATGCTGCTTGGTTGCAGGAAAAAATGCGTTCTACTTAATGTTGCATGCATTTATAGCAAGTATTTCCCATGCCCCACGCCTTGGCCTGCCCACAATTGCTAATGATGCAGGAGCAGCAGCCGCTGAAGGAGCAATCCAAGGAGTTGCACTGGAAAAAATAAGGCAGCAGAAATGGGGGAATAAAAATATTAAAATAGATCCCTTCTTCTGATTTTTAGTTCTAGTTCCTTATACTTTTTGTACTTTTTTGTGCAATGTATCTCACAGATTCCAGTCCTTTCCCAGCTGCTGGCAGCACAACTTAGTTGGCGCTCTTGTCATTAAGCTGCGCAGCTTTTACTGTTCTTGCCCGCTGGCTCTGCTCAGCTTGGCTTACTGCTTTTCGATTTAACTGCTGATAGCTTTTGAAGTTAGAGTAAGTTACGTAGTGCACTTGGCGCACACTTATCTATCATTATCATCAGTAACTCTCTCTCACACACACCAACACACACGTACGTCGTGGCAGCTTTTCTATTACGCTGCATGCTGCACTTATCGTCGTCATCGCAGCAGCACCAGCAGTGGCAGCAGCAGCAACTGCAACAGAAGCAGCATTCTGCACAGCAGCAACAGAAACAGCATCGGCTTTGGTTGGGTTTCAAGTGCTGCAAGACGATTATGATGATGATGCAAGATGATCATCATGACAATGATGCAGCAGCAGCTGGGTCAGAGGAAGAGGAAGAGGAAGCAACGTCCACTCTAATCACTATATACATCGGTTTGATGGCATTAGTCGGAATGCATCTCTGCTGGGAGCTGCCACTGGATATATCCCCCCGCTATCTATGGTGGATGCATGCCACTTGCCACTCGAGCTGCTGCCATCTCGGCTTTTAGCTCTCAGCCCTCTCGGTTGATGACGTTTGGCAGCTGCATCTTCTCCTCCACCAAGGGCACTGTCTCTTGATCTTAAAGATCACATAAGCTTGGACACAGTTTAGGCCCTAAACTTTAGGGAATTATTCCTACGAATTAAAGAATATAATATTAACAATTAAATAAACTAAACAAGATTGTTTATGATTATTATATTTAATTTAAGATTAATAAGCCCATAATGTTATTACAGGCGAGGAGATACAATCCTCTTTCTCTTTCCCTAAGAATCTGTAGCTGAGCATCTGCGAGATGCAGTATCTTTTTCTCGCGCTCCGGCCTGCGGCCTAATTTCGTATAATTTTTTTCTTTCTGCGTTATGAATTTGCTGGAAAATTGCAATTTTATGTGCAATTTCTTGCGGCCCTCCCTCGACTACGCCCCGCTGCTTGGTTGCGGCCCCTCCGGCTTACATTTATTAGAATAATTTAATTGCTTATTAAATCATCTTTGGCTCATGACTCCTTTTTTGTTCTCGTTCTCTTTGTAGGTGAGTCCCGTCTCCACTTTGATCTACTGCGGGGCATACGGTGGACTAATTAGTTTAGCTCCAACCTGCCGCAGCATCGGAGGCCGCATCTGTGTTGCAACTTTATTAACCGCTCGAGGTTTCAATCTGCGGCTGTCAAATTAAATGAAATTTACACTTTACCGTTAAATTGGCAGGTACGTTAGAAAATTGCCCGGCCAGGTCCATAAATTTTTCACTGCAGCCTTTTGTGTACATTTTAAAGTTGATGCGGGCAACGAACGAGAGCCAGAGCCCAGCCCAGGCAGCCCAGTCAGCCCCCGGTGGCAGCATCCGATTTTGACACAATTTTGCAGTTGAGCGGCATAAAAAATAAATATAGTTATAGGGTGGGGGGTGGTGCTAGAGGTATGCTATGTATTATGCATTTTTGCATTTCACCGGCTACGAATGGCGGCCATCATCATCGTCATCCCTTCTCTGAAAATGCTGCTGCAGCATGCCTCAATGCACTTTGCACTGAAATAGAGAATTCCACTATTTGGTTCCTATTGCTGTTGTTACCCCTTTCATGCAACTGGTTTTGTATGCATCGAATGGCAGTGGTAGTAATAAAAAAATAAAAAATAATGCTTACAGCAAATATAAACATGCAAAAAAGTTGAACAAACTTTGGTTGGCTGGATGGCTGCTGTGCTCTCTCTTGGTTTCAGTCTCTGGTTTTTTTTCCAGCCTTCAGGGCTAAAAGGAGTACAACAAATAGCGCAAACGGAACGATTTTTGTTGCACCACAAAAAGGCGCAACAACATAGAGCTATAGAGCGTTGAAAGTCGCGTGGGATTAGTCGTTTTGGGGGATACACTTTCACTTCCAGGAACTGTAAAAGTTTAATTTAGATTTTAGTGCCAGTGTCAGGGGGGAAAAGGCATCCATCCACATGGGGAGATTTTTGGAATCAGAGAAGCTTAAAGTCTAGTTTGTTTTACAATTTTGTGATAATTACGAAATAATCCAGTCATAAATATTTTGAAACGATAGCTTTATCAATTAACTTTTGAATATTTAAAGAAAAATAAATATATGTGAAAATACTTTCTAATCTATTTCGATTTTGTAATCCAATCAATACACGATTATTGTATAAATTAAATTTTTTCCATCACAAATGGTATTAAAGTGTTGTGTTTTGAGAGGCAGAGAATATATACTTTTGGAAAAGTATTATACCCTCGCTTGTGAGAGATCTCACTGCCAGTACTAGGAAGGGAAATGAAAACAAAGTGTAGGAAGCATGAAATGGAAACTGCAGCAGCCCAAATATGAATCAAACCAAGGCCTGGGCACGACCCAAAACCAAATGGGCCAGAAGACCAAAGAAGCAAGAGGCTCAGCCCCCCCTGGCATCCTCGGCTTTTGGCCAACTGGTTCAGAGATGTCTGTCGGCTATTGCATTGTCTTGTGGCTTTGGTTGCAGTTGCACTTGGCGCTGCTTTTTCGTTTATTTATTTTCTTTTCCTGTATTTGGGGTTTTCAGTTTTCTTTTTTTTTTTGTTTTTGCCGGCTGCCTTTGACCAGGCCGGTCCAAGGCGTGTTCACAGCGTGTTCCGTATGTTTTTGGCCATGTTTCGGTTTCGTTCGTTGCAATGCATTAAAAAAGCATTTCTGCAGCACCGCATTGTTGTTGTACACTAGTTGTTACACCGTTTTTACACATGTCCGGCTGACCCAATTCCCCAGCGTTCTTTGTCGTTTTTTCGACCCTGCCCCCCCATTTGAATATTATGGTTTGGAATTCAAATTTAAATTTTATTCTGGAAAGGCAATCCAGCCTCCAACCAATTAGCATTGCCCCTCGCAGAGTACGATCCAATCAAAAATGCTATTTGGCCGCAAGAGTCCTAAATCAACACAAGCCCATAACCCAAATACCCCGCAGAAGGCACCCAAGTGTTGACAGCAATATTGAAATGTTGGTTCAAACTAAAGTATTTGTGCAAATATTGTTTGGATCAAATTTGATTTCTCTCGGCCCGATGCTAATTTTCATCCAGCTAAAATCGTTAGATAAATATTTCCAACAATGCCAATTGTTGTCGACGCTAAACATTTTCCGGGAAAAGTGCAGTCCCCTGGCCGGGACGGGGAAAACAACCACCACCGATCCTGTAAGCGCCGAAAATGGAAACATGTTTTCATTAGGCGAAATTATTAGACGCCGAACCAACCCCGAAAGTGTGATTTGATTTTCAATATTGTTCTGGGGGGCACAGGACTCTCTTCCATCTGTCCGGTCATCAATACTTGTCGCACAAATCCTTTTACCACCCGAAGGAAGTTCATTTATTTTATGTTTAACAGCATTTAGGGATTGGGATTTTCCATGCATTGTCTTATTTGCCAGCACACCCCAAACACCCGAAAGAGCAGGGGTTGCTAAATAATTTATTTCTTTTATTTTCGGCTGCCGTTAATGCCATTCAAGTGGTGCCAAGTCCTTTTTAGGCCTTTTGATTTGCTCCTGGATTAATTTGACCCTGAGCCCGAGCCAGAGCCAGAGTTTCGCGCTCTTGTTGGATGTTTAATTTATTTGGGTCCTTTGTCTGGTGGACTGACCGCGAAAACTTTGGCCTTCAAAAAATCTTCCCCAGAAAAAGTGAAAAAAACGAGTCTGCCAAAAAGCAATTTCTATTCACAGGCAACGACACAAAGTCAATTTACAGGACACGAGCCCAGAAGGGAAAAAATCCCACAAACAAAAAAACCCACAAAAAGCGAAAGCCAGGCCGAAAGTCGGGCTGCCAATTAATCCGTAACGAATCCTTTTGCCAACAGCGAGTCCTGCTCGCAAGAACAGGAAAGGATCTACGCTCCACTGCATTTTTGATGGACGTATCCGAGCGTAGCATATTGATGGCAAGTTTTGCGCATTTTACGGATATTGCACAATTTTCTTTTTTTATTTGGCTTCGACCCCCAAAATGAAGAAATTTGAAAAAGAAAAAATGATTAATTATACAGGCAGAACAAGGGGCGTGATTGAGGCAAGAGCTGTGCGAGTACTTTTAATTGGCTTTTGAGTCATCGACTAATAAAGATTAATTGTTTTTTAAGAGCAAAAATGTTGACAATGCTGCCCAACGGGGAAGAGGAGGAAAGTGTAAGGGGAGGAGGGGTGGTCGGGTCAGGTCAGCAAAGGACACTCGGATATGCGTCTGCGTCCAGGACATGGCCGTTTATCTATGTCAGCACAGAGGTACGCACTCAATTGGAAGATTAAATGCAAGCCAACAGTCTGTTTGGGGTCTGGTCTCGGGGTGATCCTCTCGAGGACAGTGCGTTCCGGGACTATAAGGTGGCCTGACTAAAACAAATGTTTATAAAAGCGATTGCTGCAACTGCTTTGGATTATTGTATGTTTTGAAACGCACTGTATCCCCGCCATTCTCCGTTTGTGGCACTTGCCAATGTCGCACTTTTTTCTGCCGTTTTCCTCCAGACAATGTGTTATTGTGTTTTGGGGCCCGGGCTGCACATGCACGGTGGTGGTGGTGGCTACTGTCGACCCAGGACCTTCCTCCACTGGCAGGTCGACGATTCAAATGGGCCGCCTGATGTGGCTGTTGCTGCTCCGGTCCTCTGCGGTGCCTCATCCATTTTTGCGTATGAATTGCAAAACGCCGCACATATTTCACGTTATTGTTTGGCCGGGTCGCTGTCTGTTGCCGTTGCCGATGCCATTGCCGTATGGGTGAAGCAGGTAACCCTTGGAATGGACGACGCTCCGCCCTCCCCCGAACGCTGAATGGCATTCCAAGTCGTGCCACACATTTGATATATGTTTTGGTGTCGAGCATGAGTTAACTGTGTCACAGGCATCGTAAATTTGCGCCAAGGGTACCCGGTACGAGTCCAAGCCGGAGCCGGAGCCCGGAGCACATTGAAATTGCTAGAAATAATCGTAAAATGATGAAGTCATGAAGTCGTCGGCAATATGAACTCCAAAATAAATGATTTGTGTGCGCGCCTGAGTTGCAGTAAATTATCATACATCTTTTCGGATGAGTTTTGACCGCGGAAGCGAGTAAATTAGTTGAGAAGTAATTAGGCGGCTGCAATTGCACTTTCAAGTGGCTGAAGACAATGCAACTGTCAAACGGCAGGATACATCAAGGAACATACATACGTATATGCGACCTGCCCGTCATGAAAAATGATACACAAACCTCGCATTCGGTTTAGGGGCAGCTGATGCCTTCTGTCTTCGGTTTTGTGCCTTTGGGCCAAGGGGCCCTTTTGTTTTATGTCGCCGCAGGGCTTTGTTCTGTCCCTCTTCCTCACTCTGCCGCCCGGGAGTATAATTTCGTTTAATATTGTTCATTTTAGTTGTGTAATTGTGCGACGTTGTCAAATGACAAACTCCCCCAGCTCCTCGGGAAGAAGACTCTGCTTCCTTTGCTTCACTTTCCTTTTTCAATTTTTCATTTCAACTGAATTCCTCCTCCTCCTTTGCTCCTTTTCGTCGTTTTTGTATTGTTCTTGTGCCACAGATCAGTTTACAGGCCAAAAGGAGCAACCTGGCCGAGGGTCGCATAGGTATGTACACACAAATGGAGTGCCCTCCTCGTACCTGCCTCGGATCTTAAAGGCCAGCGCCACATTTTGACATGACATTCTCGGGGCTTTATCTGATCAGTGGCATGGAAAATTTCGTGGTGTCCAAGGGATCTTCTCAAAAAATTCGTATGTCGTATCGTAATTTTCATTAATGGTCTCTGTCTCTGGTCCGTCTGGCGACTGTTTGGGTTATTTCGGCATCTGTCTGGCTAGGCTAATAAAAATGATGAAAATTCAATCTACATTGTCTTCTCCACGCTGTGAAATATGAGCCACTTGCTGGTTCTGAAGTAATGTGCTGTGACACTGATTTGGATACGTCTTGACGAGATTTGTTTTGAAAAGATGTGACAGGACTGAAGTGGGTTCAGAGCCTTGAAATGGTCAGCAGAGATCAAAGGCATATCTAAATAAAATGTTAGTCAACATTTAGTGCGTATTAGTTTAATAATTTGATTAATTATCCATACATTGGCCCGCATTTCAAGGGGCTTAGTTAAACATGGTAGGAGCTTCAAGCTTAAAGGTTCGTTAAAACAAAACGAATTGGGCTCACAGACTCACAGACTTTGAAAGTGGCCT